TTTGCGAGAGTTAATAAATAGTCGAACAGAAAAGGTTTTACCGTTTCATCGTACGTGAAGTTGCTAGATTGATTCGCCTCATTAATAGCACACGCAGACAGTATATCTGTCTTCCACAGTCGAGGGTGAAGTGAGTCGGCACGACGAACGCTACTTGTAAAATTTGCATATTAATATTTCTTCCGTCGAATTCTAATGTTTACGCTCTATAAAACACAACACTTTCCGATTGTTTCTGACATGTATCGGCGACTACTCTCTGGCGGAAATATATCCCGGGACACCGATGGAATCCGAACAATCGGCATACTAATGTGTTTCTATAGAATTCAACAGATGGCACCGGTAGAAACTGAGCGGTTTTATAACGAAAACTGTGATTGTGTACAACTGAAAATTGCAATATATTCTCAACATCGGATCACTTAGGATCTGATTACAAAGAGTCCGATGATCCGTGTTCTGATGCATTTGAAGGGTGTCCGACCGGATGCGATAGGCACGTTTTGATCTGGGTGGATGTCTTTAAGAAACGTGTTTTATTTTAACAACAAATGGCCAGAATTCATACGTAACGTTAGCCTTATGCAAAGTCGCTTTGATTGCACATTCTGCCTGGTGTGCTCGTTCACCACAGATAGCCAGAGGAAGATCGGTTATGTATGCTACGCACATATAAGGATACGCTAATGCACGCGGCACAATTGCGAATAAGTCTGAAACACCATAATTTGTAAGATCACATAGATCTAGATTCTTGGCCCACTTTCGATCGTAGCCTGACGGAATATCGTTTACACACTCATAGTATGGATTGATAAGTATTTTATCTTTTGGCAGTTTACTTGGCTTCGGCAAAGCTTTCGCAAAATACAGATCAGGACGAGTACGCACAATAAAGTCATATTTCATTCCGTTAATACGTTCGGTTCTTTGTATATGATCAAAACAACGTTTCCATTTCGCATATCCACTTCGTGTTTCTATAGAACCCAGGCTATCACCTATAGAAATCCATTCAACTATACGGGGAGAAAGATATTTCAGTGCAGATTTATATCTGATGGCATTATCAGCCCTCACTCGTGTTCCATGGATCATCTCTGTTTTGTTTATATGTTCGAGAACAACAAAAAGATCGCCCGGAAGAACATCCAAAACTTGGTGTCTATAAGCGGTATATACCTCTTCTTTATAAAGCGTTCGTGGGGTTCCAGTCATACAATGAGCAACACGGATGCTCGATGATCTATTTTGAATACTTGAATATGATCCATGATAGTTTGCATGCATAGCTTCTACCAAACAACCCAATAACACCATTGATTCTAGCACAATACATAGTTTTAACAAACGAATTTTGCTACCTGTTTTATTAAAAAAATTTAAGGAGCACTTCTTGGGCGAATTCAACCGAGTCATTTTCTAAAAAAGAATGCTGTTGGATAATATATGAAATTTACTATTGTTATAAATACTGCTTTCGATAGACCAGTGGGATAGCCTTGGAATTTGGCATCTTTCGCCCGGTTTCAGTGCTCTGTGTGATTGACCTTTTTGATCACGATTACAATCACGACTATCAAGCAATTTTTTTCAAATACGCACGATATTAACACATTCGACGCCATTCAGTTTTCAAAGAAAACTGATTCGAAAGAATGATTTCTATCAAGAATTTACTTATAATGAATGCAGTTGATCACCTTTTCGTAATATTCTATCGATTCTTCATCGTTCTCTTGTTTGTATTATCACATAATGAGTCATCCCATTGTAGTTAAAGAAAAAAATCCCTTACGTCACTTTTTTGTTCTTTACATTTTATCTGTCGTACACGTAATACAAGGGAAAACATTCTAGATATTCCTTGCTTGTCCTTGTCTCTTTCCTCTGTTAAGTATAAAAGTGACCGAATTTTTGCGATTGTTCATATGTCGTTCGAAGAATCCGAAGCAGGAGAAAGCACTAGTTCATTTAGTGAAGAGAGCTCCTTGCATGATGATTTTGTCAAGATGGATCTGGATTATGAAGCTTCCGACGGAGAATCTACTGATGAGGAAGTCGATTTCCAAGTCTGGAGCGCCGTAAAATCGAAATCTGATGCAGAATTCTTGGAAGATTATGGACTGGTTCAAGAAGTAACTTCGACATCGGGAGATAGTACAATTCTTCCCATCGATTGCTATCGCCATTTCATCACGGACGAAATTGTTGATCTTATGGTTCGCGAAACTAATCGATACGCAGAGTAGTACTTGGAAACACACGAGATTAGTACACGATCGAAAATTTATCAATGGAGGCCAATTACCGACGTAGAAATGCTCAAGTTTTTTCGGAATCATTATCGAAATGGGATCGGTGCAAATGCCGAAATTAAAATACCATTGGAGTACCAATCAGTTGTATGGATCCGAGGTCATTCGAAATACAACGGGGACAGATAGGTTTGAATTACTCCTCTAGTTCTGGGGTTTTTGGACGATCATAATCATCACCCAAACAAATACAGGCTAATTAACCCTTTCAAAACGATTCAATTCGTTTAGAAAATCGCTTAAATTTATTTATGTTTACGCATATTTATGCCCTATAAATACACCTGTTAGCTTTTTTGAAGGTGAATAACCGTCTGTTTCTCTTTGTCTTGTTGTCATGAATATATGAAGAACTCGCGTTTTCATTTTATTGGATAGTTATTGAAGTTTACTATTTTTCATGCGTATTTTATGCGATAGAAGTGCGACAAAAAATGAAATTTCATTTATTTTCGCTTTATATTCTTTTCGTACCATTACTTTCGATTCTTTTCTCTTATGTGTATTAGATAAATTCATTTTTTGAGTTCACTTAGATGTTTTATGGTGAGACGTCTTTTTCTAACAAATACAGTTTACTTCATACACCACTCGTCTCTCGGTACCTGGATGTACTTCTTGATCTTCAAAATGTGTTT